TCCTCCATGGGTCGTTGTGGATGTTAAGTGAGTTAAGACATGAAAATCATTTAAATCATTCAGAGGAGTGCCTGGTGCTCAGTTGGAGTAAAACAATGCTAGGAGGGGAGTAGAGGAGAAGGAAAAAGGTCCTTTTCTTCAGCAAGATAAGTTCCCTCTTTTCTTAATCTCTTTCAATCTAACTTATTTCCAGTTTTACTCTTACTCATTTCTTTCTGGATGGCCTTCTCTAGCCTGCTGACCATGTCTCATTGCACTTCCAGCTGTTTCATTCCAGATCTTTTTATTCCTAATGTAGTTTTCTCTCTGTATTTTCTCTCTGTATTTGTCTTTCTTCCATTCCTTTTCTATCACAGGTTTAGTTTTCATCTCCCCATGTGAGTTTATAATGTTGAGTCTGAATCTTTATAACCCAAATAGAACTTTTTTAATGAAAATGACCACATTATCTCCAGTTTCTATGAGGCAATGGAAAACTATTTTAATTTTTCCTGTGTTTTTGGAAGGCACCACCTTTGAAGATCCATTTCCTTGTGTTGTCTTTATGTTCTTTACATATCTAGGTTCAAGTTTCCCAGATTCAATCTTCTCCTAACATTATTTCTCTCATTATTTTTCTTTATAGGAACCACACTGTCAAACAAGTGGGGCCCTCTGAAGCCTAAACTTTAATTCATTTTTGTAAATGTCCAATTACCAAGTCCAGTATTTTTGTTGGCCTGGGAGTGCGGGTTGTATTCATGTGTACAGAGTAGGTGTTGTGACTCCTCCATACATTTTTATACATGACAGACTCCTTAAGTGTTATTAGCTGAATCCCTTTCACACACACATACACACAGACACACACAGTCAGACACACACTCACACACCTAGCTGGTTCCCAGGTAAGGAGAAGAGGGTCACCCTCAGCTCTAGTTTCTGTCCCCTTTCACAGTCTGTTGCCTAAATGGAGTCTCTATAAGGTATCCTGTGCCCTGTCCACATCCTCTGATCTCATTTCTTTATTTGAAGGCTACTGAGTTCACCTTTGTAAAGACACACGCTTTTCATGAAATCTGCTTCCCTGTCACCCTCCCCCCCCCCCTTCTTTTTGGATTTCTGAGCCAGGTTCTTGCTGTGTAACCATGTACCTCAGGCTGGCCTCAAACTCATGGTCATTGTTCTGCCTCCACCTCTGGAGTCCTGGGATTATAGATGTGTACCACCAAGCCCAGTTTGAAATCTGTTTATTATTCAGGATCAGAGGAGGTCTGTGTCCTTTCTCAAGTTATACATTGTTTTATTTATATTCTATGTAGTTGGGAATATTAACTAGATGTTTTGATTTCAATGACCCAAATAACAAAATACTAGTCTGAAGTAACAAAAGGATGGGAGGACAGAAGAAAAAGAATTAAGGAAAAGAACATACTGGCTCCTAAAACAGAGCAGGCTACAAGGCTGATGCAATGGACTCAGGCACGGCCCTATCTAGGAGTTTAGTATATCACCCTTGAGGCTGATCACTACCTCCATCCTTGGCTCTCTTCATTTACAAAGCCCTTTTCTCTCAAAGCCTCTTGCTACAAGACAATAACAAGGCTGCTGTGGGCCCCAAGGCCATGTTATAATGACAGCTTGTGAAACTGGAGAAAGATGACTTTCCTCAAACACTTTGAAGAAATCTCAGGAAGGAATTCAGCCAGCCTGGCTTGGACCACTTGCCTGTCTCTGAACCAAGTGTGATAGCTGGAGGTTGGAGTGTTCTAATAAGAAGCCCCCTTGGACACCCAGCTGCCTGTGGGGAGGATGGAGGGACGGCAGTCCCAGCCCTCATCTAAACATGGTCTCAGGGGGATTCACAATACAGTGTGATAGAATACATCCCCCATATGGAAGTATACCAAGCCGACAAAAAAAAAAAAAAATCAATCTACACTAGAATACAAAGCTTGTTCCATGTTGTTTGGGGTTAGAGCTACTTTTTCAGTTCCACTGACATTTATTTCTGGTTTTATTCTTTGCTGCTTTCCTTGGGTTTCTCTAAAAGCTTTTGCTTGGCCAGCTTCAGCCAGATGCCCCCTGATTCATAATTTTTTTTTACTTGAACAACACTAAGGGTTTGATAAGTTTTTAAGTAAGGCTTTCAAACCTTAGAAATCACTCCCACAGTGAGGTTTAGAAGATATTCAAGGTCTAGAGGATATTCAAGGGTCTAGAAGATATTCAAGTAAAAGAACACAGTTATTTCCATATTTTTTAGAACAGAAAACCCTGAAATTATTAGGAGACTTGCCAGGAACATACAACTTAATCAGGTAGCTGAGGGAGACATAGACCTCGCTCCAGATTCTGACTCCCAGAGAGGAGTTCTGGACTCTGACTGACTGGTGTTGGCTCCCCGCAGGGTCACCTTTCCAAGCCATGGCAGACTAAACAGCCCTTGTGCAGCAAGCCTTAGGAGGTTTAGCCAGCTACACGAAGGAGTCTGTTAGACTGGGCTCTTGGATGGAGGGACAGATGGATGGAGATGTACACATGGGCTTCTGCGTAATTGCAGCTTTATTACTTTCAATCTATGTGGTAATACTGAGCAAGAACTAATGGAGTATGTTTGAGGAGCAGCCTTCCAAGCCTTAAGGAAATTCCTAAATGGAGATTGTTATGTAAGCACATGGATTGAGGATGACAGATCCATACATTCTTGAATGGAATGTCAAATCATCCCCAAGATAGTTTTCCCCCAAGTGCTGGAGATCAGACCCAAGGCCAGTGCATAGCAGCTGAGCCACACCCCCGCACCGTGTTCCAATTGTGTTGTCCGCAATGCTATCTTGTTTAGAGAAGCCTTTTCCCATCATACTGAGCATACAGATAAACTCCAGGCCATCCCATGTCCTCTCTTAAGCCCAAGAGCACTTGGCACAAAGGAGGAGCCCATGGGAACCCAGCGCTGGGAGTGAGCGCGTCCTCACTTGCTCTGTTCCCTTTCCGCAATCTCTGTGCTCTCATCTTCTCAAGCCCCTGTCATCTCCATTCCCTTCCCTCCCTTCTGCTGCCAGCCCAGCTCCCTGACAACTCTTCATTTTCCACTTGGTCTCAAGATGAAAAAATGTTAATTGAGGGTAGGGCTCTCACATCAAAACTGGGAATACTCCACTGCATAGTAAAGATCATTTCTTGGAATTATTCATTTAAATATTTACAAGAAACAATTATCAAGTGCCCCAGACTGATTCATAAATGTAATTAATGAGAGAATGCTAAGAGTTTCCATTTTTCTCGTTTGTTTTAATTCTACTGTATAAACTTTTTGCCTGGCATGACTTCAACAAAATTCCACCCAGTGATGAGAGGAGGTAAAGATTCATAAAGCAGAAATGTCATTGAAAGTTAAACTTGCCGGGGTGGACTGCAAACCCGAATCAGACACAATCATTATACAATGGGAAATCCATCCTTGCGAAACACAAAGGAAACAATTAGTGCCGCTGCCAACGCCTCATAATTTTGGACAGTCAGGAAGAAGTGTTTCTGCTCCTTAATTGATGTGTCCTTTGTTGCTTGGGGGTGAAATATGCAACTGAAATGCCCTTGTTGTCACAGAATGAGGAAGGCATAACGACCTCTGGCTTGCTGGATTGTTTGGTAACATCTGAAGGTTTCCAAAAATAAATAAACAAACTAGACAGTTCTTGTCTGGTTTTTCTAGTCAACTTTCATTACTCTAAGGATGGATGCAACAAGATAAACGTTTCCTTTTTGCACGGGTCCCGAAAGGGACGCAAGTTTTCCTGTGGCCTCTTAGGCTTTGGCTCAGAGGCCCAGGGCCTGTTCTTACTCACCCACTGGAAAAGATGTGCTTGCCATGGCTAGTTTGACGTTTTGTACTCAATGCGCAGAGTCCCAATTTAAAATTATTCTCTTCTACTGAAGGAGGCATTTCATTTCTCCTTTAATTTAAAAAAATGTTCTGAATGCAGAACGACAACACAAGGACCACTAGGTTGCCCAACATAAATTCCATGTGTGTGGCACTCTTTAAGCTGCATAAGCAGACAGGGTCAGCTTGACTACACCAACAGGCTGCCAAGCAGCCACCTTGGGGAAAAGTTTTTAGTCATATGTCTGGATAAGCCAAAGTCAGATCCCAAATCTAAAGTGAGAGCACAAGGACTTGGTCTTAAAATGGCCTGTGCAATCTAACTTATTAAGCAAATTCAAACTGGGCAGTTGTTTATGCTGACCTAATGGAAAGTCCTAGAAGAAAATATCTGACTGAGTGAGCCTGCCCAGGTCAAGCCCTTCTGGATATCTCAGTATCATCCCTGGCTGGGGCTGGGAAACGGCCTCTTCTCCCACTGTCTCCCTCCCACTGGCCTCTGATTACTCAGGCTTCTTAAGTAACATACAGTGTAAGAATGCACATGGTGGGCCTGGAAAGATGGCTCAGTAGAATAAGCACTTGCCTGGCAAGCACAAGGGCCTGAGTTCAATCCCTGGTTCCTCCAAAACAAAAACAAAAACAAGAATCTACATGGCCTATTCAGAGAATGTAAAATTAAGACTCAAACATGCACTTATGAGTGGTTAATAGAGGGATAGCATAGCTATTAGAAATCCATAGGTCTCTACTATCTTAAGCATTATTTTGCATAATAAACATGCTCAGTTAATATCGGTGGATGAACCCAACAAATGTAAGGGAAGATTCCAGGCCAGGTGAGAATCATAAATAACACACAAACAGAAGACTCAGTCATCACTCCTGGGTTGGATCCAACAGTCCAACCAAACCTAAACCAGGCAGTCCTTTGAGAGAAGCATTCTGGCAATTAAGAAGAAAAGAGGAGGGAAAGTCAACTGCTTAAGGCCACAAGAAGAAATCTTCCTACTCACTAAGTTAAAATGTATTATTATATAAAGGGAAAAAGCAAATCTACCGTCTATATAAGACAAAGATCAAGTGGTAAATGAGAGTTACCCCGACCTAAAAATTAAATAAAAAGAATCCTCACCCTCCACTTCTCAGATGAGATGGTAAGGTCGTTCTGCTCAGTCCTTCCCGCTCTTGGATGTCTCTGAAGCCTCCCTCACAAGTTAGTTGAAGTGAGTGGTGCTTTAAATGGCCAGCGGCATTTGATTCTGTTAAATAAATCCCATTTGTTTTTACCGTCGAATCCCCCAGCATAACTGTTTCTTTGGATTCCACTGTCTTCTTTACTGTAATAACCAAGGAAATGTTTTGTCAAAGCATTTCTTGTTTTAAGAATCACTACCTTGCAATATTTTTAATCCATGTATTTATATAATTTAAAAATACATTATGAGTTTAATGGAGCTTTAGGGCCAAAGCCTTTCGGAATATAAACCAGATTTTATCACAATTTTAGATTCAGTACCATCAATTCCTACAGCTAAAATGAGTAGGACCATGATTCTATCAAAGCACTGTCCTAGGACCTGGGGTACATTAGTGACAAAACAGAAATCCCCGACCTCATGGTCAATAGCTGTAGACAGACAATAAGCACTACACAATAAGGCAGTGTTTTAAGATAGTAAGTGCCACAAATAAAAGAAAGTAGAAAAATGGAACAGGGCACAGGGAATTGGGACTAGGATTAAAGGAAAATGACTTTTAAACAGAGTGGCCAGGCACAGCAGGGGCAGCCCTAGTGCAGTTTCAGAGGCGAGGGACAGTGTTTTGAGCAGAGGCCCAGCTGGCATGGAGGCCCAGAGGCAGAAGTGTGCCTGGCCACCTGAGGAGCAGGAGAGTGGAGTGTGAGGTGTGGGGGCGTCCAAGAGGCAGGGCATGGAGCAAGGCCACCTGGACAGCCTGTTATATCGCAGACAGGGGAGGTCACACTTACACAGGGGAGTAAGACAGCTCTAAGAATAGACATCCTGCCTCTGAAATGAAGCCAGACGTACAACACTTTCTCATCAACTGTCACTAGGAATACTCTGTATAATATACATTATATATTGTATGCAACATGCCACATAGCGTTAGGTCCATGCAAATGTCATTAGAAACACTACCTACGCTACTACTATGCTCCAGTCTATGACAAAGCACAGGAAAGAGAGAGCAAATCTCCCACAGTACACAGGAGACTGGGATAAAACAAGCTTTGTAGAAAAAAAAGTGTTTTGTAAGCTTTTCCAAAATGACTCAAGGTTTCTTTTTCTGTACTTTTTTTTTTTTTAAATTTTGTTTTTTTCTGTATTTAGGGAAGGGTCTACAGGGTGTTCAGAGTCTCACTACTAGATTGGACTCATAGTGATTCTCCCATTTACAGCCTCCCAAATGCTGTAAATTACAGGTGCACGCCACCACGCCCAGTCTTAAATCCCCTCTCAGCACGCCCCAGGGGCAGGGTTGGCGTAGCAGGCCTGGGGATCGAACCCCAGCCCCTGCGCCTGCTGGTAGGCACTTTAATCCATTGAGCTATTTGGCCAGCCCAAATATTGAGAAGATTTTTTTGGGGGGGTGGGAAGGGCTACTTCAAGCTGCCTTAAGGGCAGGTCTGGTGTAGCTCCTGGAGCTGGAAATCGAACTGCGGTCCCATGCACCTGACTGCGTTTGCCCAAGCGGCTGCACTTATTTAATAATCAACAAGCCTATAAAAACTAACAAAAACAAAATCACTTATTTTATCAATCTGACCAACCTCCCTATTTATTAAAAACTCCAACAAAATTTTATAACCAAATAATAAGAGAATAACAACAGTTCTTACACTGTGTATCATTATCTTCAAAGTAGATACTCAGTATAAGACATAAAACAAAAGCTTCTCACAAAAAAGAAACAGAGCATAACATTAAACTTCCTTTTCAATGAACTACGGTAAACTAGTAGTACAAATGAAACAAATTAGCATACATATTGAACTATTTTTAAAACAACAGAATATGTACTATAATTTGGGAAAATATTGCTACTTCTCCCTACTCCATATTTGTTTCTTTTCTATTTAACCTTAGAGATTGCTTGGTCAAAAATTCATTTTTCAATTGAGAAAGCTGACAGCCTAAGAAGGTTAAGGGACCTGTCTGTGGCCACCAAGCAAGCCAGACTACAAGAGGGAGAAGAGCGTGAGCTTCTGCCCACCAGGCTGGGTGCCACTGCACGTGGGCAGGGCACTCGGTCCTCTCTCACCTTCTTCAGTGCCCCACGTCTTGGGGATGTGGCCAGAACTAACGGATGTGGCCAGCACGGTGACTTCGATGGTGCTAGCATACTTAAAACACAGGTGCTATTGTCACTGTGATTACTGGAGCCCAAGTGTCCTGACATCTGGTCTGTGGTTGTCTCTCTAGCACCAGGCTACCTTAAATAATTTTGCAACAAAAGCAAACGCTCTGTTTTTTATTATGAAGCACGTTTAGCCCGTCACTCTATTTTACCATTTCTTTCATTCGCTCACTCCAGACACACTTATTAAGCATCTGCTACTCTGTGCTGGGTGCTGCTGTCCTACACAGGAGTGAATCTAGGTAAACAAGAGGCTCAAGCAATACAGCTTCTGAAAAGGGAAACACAGACGTGCACATAGGAAGAGGTGCTACACCACTCTTTTCTTACAATCTACTTGTAAGGAGCGCGTGTGGCAGTGGCCCGGGTGGTAGATGACTGCTTGTGCTGAGGCTCACTCTGATCCTGGAGGAAGGCCACCATTAAACTGAGCGTGTTCTGCTTAGTCCTCGCCAGCGTGTGTCTGGTCACTGCACTCATTCTGTCGCAGGTCGTGGGTAATCTTGCAAAGCTCATGGTTCCTCTTTCATGCCTGCCACACACCCTAAACTGTTCAGAGCTCCTGGGCCATAAACAAGGAGAACTACTGCTCCTTCCCAAGGCACTCAGGCTAGTAGGGGAGAGGGAGGCAGATGCGAAGAGAGACTAGTGCAGTGCGCTGCAGCACCAGCCAGGAAATGAGAAGACATAAGGTAGAGAAGCTTGCGAGGCCCAGAGCTGGTCTGGGGAAGAGCTGCGGAGAAGGCAGAGCCTGAGAAGCACCCGGAAGGGTGAAAGGGAGATACACAGTTTGAAGGGAAAGGAGCCAAAGTTTGGAGCAAGCCAACTCCATGTGTGCGCAAGCTGCTCACAGGCTGACCCTATGGTGGGCCTCATGCTCTGCGGACAGCATCCTGAATCTTTTATTTTTTATTTTTTAAGTTGAAAAACCATTTGTTTCACTGGAAAGATAAAAGTGATCCGACCGTAGGTCTAGCCTTTGGGCTAAAAGAAAACCAAGAGCAATGGTGACTCTCACTGAGGTCATTCCCAAATCCAACACCCACTGGAGGCAGGAGGCAGGAGGCAGGAGGCAGGAGGCAGGAGGCAGAGGGCAGCCCCCACCACAGCTTCTGCATACAATGAGGCCTGCTGGGAAAACAGAACATGAAGAGAAGCTACAGAACAAGAGCAAACAACAGCAAGAACAGGATAATGGGCACTAGAGAGAAAAAGAAAAGGGTCTGAACTTAGCAAGGTAAATTAAGGTCCATGGTTTTTGGCCTGACTGAATATACAGGCCAAGAACGTCCCAGAGACAGAGTACCAATGAAGTGTGTATTCTCACGCACAACCACAGCTGGGAATTTCAGCCCACACACATCCCACCTTGAAACTCAGTGTAATCAAGGCCCCTGCTGGCCTCCACTGCATCTTCTGCCTGCTCCATGTGTACAAAGGCATAATGTCTCACGATGTCACATTCGATGACTGGACCCTATTCCTCAAATTTGGTCCGAAGCTCTGTGTTGGTACAGGTGGGGCTGATGTTACCCATGTGTAACTTGGTTGAAGCTCTGCTCTTGTTCTTGCTGGCTTCCACACTGGAATTCACCCCGTGCAACGTATTGTGGTGCAGGTTCCAGGTGGCATCCTCCACCGCTGTCTTGTCCTCCATGTACACAAAACCATAGTTCTTAACGATGTCACATTCCAGCACCTTCCCATGCTGCTCAAAGAGTGAGTGGATCTCTTGCTCTGTGGCCTCCTGGGGCAGGTTTCCAATGAATGGCTTCACCATCTTGACCCAATCACACAGAAATCTACAGGGCCTCCTCCTCTCAGTCTACTTCCAATGAGCATCCTGAATCTTGAGGTACAGACCACCCACATTTTTATTTTGCACTGAGCCCAGCAAATTTTATAGAACAGGTCTTGCCTGAGGCTTGAGATCAAGGTGGGTGAGGACACTGCATGGTTCCGTGTCACTAGGATTAAGGGTGTGTGTGTTACCACATCAAAGGGTAGTCATCCTCGATAAAATGAAGAGTCAGAAAGAGGGTTGCTTGTGGCCTGTCACTTGCTGCTTGCTGCCTTTTGCCTGTCCTGCTTTGTCATGGACTGTTTCTACCCTGGGAGGCCACCTTGCCTTGCAGCCAGCTAACCATGAACTGAAACCTCTACAAACCTAGCTAAATAAACCTTTCCTCCTTTAACTCTGATTCTGGATATTTCATCTCAGCAATAAAAAAAAAATAACTAAGACAGCCTACAAAATAAGAATGGCTTTTATATTTTAGAGTAGGCTGGCAAGGGGTAAAATCAAAGGAAGAACAATATTCTACAAAAAGCAAATATTATATGAATTTCGGTTCCTTTCAGTGGGCACAAATCAGGCAATAGGAGCTTTTACACTACAATCAGAGTTGAAGAGGCTGGCTGGAGACAGAATGGACACACGGTCTACAACACTCACTCCTAGGCCCTTTCCAGAGAAAGCTGGTTGACCTCTATGTAGGCAAGTACTTCCCAAAGTGGGTTCCCAAGAGGCAGATTCCACAGTCTAGGAGTTCTGGGAAAAGCTGATTGAATTAAAATTAGGGAGATTTCTTTCCAGGATGGTTTTCCCAACCCTTTACTATGCCCTGAGTACTGCAGCCAGGAGGAGCCAGCTGCTTCTCTGACTTACTTTTAACACTGAATCCCACTTGACTCCTTTTTTAAAAAAAGAAGAGCCCATTGTTCATGGCACTACAGGGTAAGGTAGTTCCAGGGGCTGTGTGGATCCTGGCAGGGTGAGGGTGGATGTAAGGAGTGCAACACAGGGATGAGGCCAGCGGTGACAGGCAGTGTGGCAGTGCTGTGACAGGAGAATGGAGACTCAAGAGGATTTCAGGAAGCCCTGGCGGGTTGGTGACGAAAAGCCTGAAAGGGCCTAGTGAGAAGGTGGCATCCGCCCTGAGTCTGCCTCCAGCAATGAGGGAGGCATCAACAACAGCGCCTGCCTGTGCACCTGTAGAAGCCGCTGAGTACCAGGAGATGACCTGCTAGCCCAGGGAGGTGGTGACACACTTCTGGTCATCCCTTTTTCCCTTTTGAAGCCAGCAATTCCAAAGCTTCCAGCACAACCTGTGGGTGTAATGGTGTCAGGGAGAGTGAAAGGCATGGCCTTGGTCTCCAGCACAGTTGGCCTCTGGTCTCAGCTACCCAACAAAGTCTATTTCTTCTCAACAAGAGGGCCTCAGAAATAAAGCCAAGCAGCTCCAAAATAGGTGACATTGACTTCAAGGTAGAGAACACAGGTAGTCTTTAAACAAAATTGCCACGTGCTTAGAGGGATTACCTTTTGGTGCATCATTTCCTGAGCTAGTGCTTTGATTCACAAGCTGCCTGATTGTCAACAGGGTGGACAAAAAAGGATGCCACTGCCATGTAAACAAGGGTCAGGTCACCTGAGGATGGGGACAGCTGCAAACATCCACTCTCACAGTCACCTTCACTTCCACGAGGACACGTCAAAACAAGTGGCAGGATTTTCAAATGTAGCTACTAAGAATTAAATGCATTATAGGACATAAAAGCTCAGAAGCCTCTGAAGCAAGAACTTCCCATTCCTGAGAAGGAACTCTGGGCTCCAGGGCCTGTGCCTTCACATCGTGGCAAGCACTCTGCGTCTGTAATCACCAGTCTTTTCTGATCCAACTGGTTTGACACAGGACTCCAGCAGATGATTCTCCTGCACAGCTACAATGGAGATCCACCGGTGAGCAGAAAGCAGAATGGGTGTTACCTCAGCCTTGTTTGCACTGTGCCCTGGCTTTCCACTGCAGCCAAAGTAAAAGTCGAGTCCATCCCCCATACCAAGGCAGCCCTCCAGCCTGGCTGTGCTCCTTGCTTGTCTTTCTACTCGCTTCTCCTTCAATGTGGTGCACTGTCTGTCGATGTTTCCACACTGTCTCCTAATTATTCAACTCAGATGTCCCCTCTTTAAACACATCTTCCAGGGATCCCTGAGCTAAAGCAAGCGACCCCTGCTACAGCCACTCTGTCTTACTTTGTGTCTCTGTGACATAATACCTGACAACCACAAGTTAAAGGAGGAAAGGCTTATCTGGGCACACAGTTTGTAGAGACTTCAGTTCATAGTTGGCTGGCTCCAAGACAGGATGGCATAGCGCAGGAGTGTGGCAGAGAAACAGTCCATGGCATGGATAGCAGGAAGCAGAGAGAGGGAGCAAGAGCGAGAGCGAGCATGCAAGCGAGAGCGAGAGCGAGAGCGAGAGCGAGAGCGAGAGAGAGAGAGAGAGAGAGAGAGAGAGAGAGAGAGAGAGAGACTGAGAGAGAGAGACCGAGAGAAAGACCAAGAGAGAGACCGAGACCGAGAGAAGCAGGAGGGCAACAGATTTTGCCATCCCACACCCAGCAACCCACCTCTCCTACCCAGGCTTCACCTCCTACCATCATGTTTAGTTATAAACTCTTCAGTGGATGAATCCAGTGCTCAGTGTCATGTCCCCATGATCTGATCACCCCCCCCAAAGCCCCTCTTATGAGCACACGTGGTTTTTTGGGGGGGCACTGAGATACAAACCATAACACGCTTGCTAACACACTTTGTCTTCCTCCAAGCAACCATTAGAACTCACTTGTCTATTTGTTTTCCTCCCTAGCTTGAAGGCTCTCAGAGGGTGAGATTCGGTTGGCCCGAATGGTGCCTGGCACTTGGTAGGGGCTCAGTCTGACTATGTTAGAAAAGAAACAACTTGGGACATCAAGGTAAAACTGCCTAATGCTACACCTGGTTACTGCATGACAGGGTAACTAACACACATAACTGTACTACTTCGTCTTCCCTTTCTCGTTGTTCTACCTCTTCACTGACATCAGGAACCAAACAAATGACTGAAGTGCCAGGCAGAGGATGAACTGCGATCACACTCTGGGGCACGGGGTTGATTCCGTGGGGCCTGACCCATCCCCTCATGGGTGGGGACATGGTGTTGTCAGATTGGATTTTTCACAAAAAGTCATAGATCTAATTTTTAAAAACTGGCAACTAACTAAAAGAAAATCCTAGTATGGCAAACATGTTCGGGTGGAGGCTTGTTCTCACTGGGGTCCCCCTTTAGAAAGCCTCTGGCTCTGTGGCTGTGCACCTGGCCCTTCTCTGTGCCTGCTGTCTGAAGAACAGTCAGGACTGTCAATTCCTGGTAAAGCAGTTACCAACTTTTCTGACCACACACAAAAAGAATGGATGACCCATGACCCTGCACACGCACACAGCTAAAGTGAAGTTGCCTGAAGCTATACTTACCTTTAGTATAACACAATGTGTCCTGATATTTTCCACTATTTCTACTGTCTTTTAAGAAACAATCATAGTGTGGTCTCCCAAACTGATTGTTGTCCCACTAATACAGCCCTGCCTGCAGTTTGGAAAACCCTTGGCCCGCCTGGATGGGGGAAGATTCTACCTGTGAGGTCTACAGCCTCCGTCCTCCAGGTCTGGGAACATGCCAGCATTTCTGTAGCAGGAAAAAAGCTCTATTCAAGCTTTGCTTACATATTCAACAAAGATCAGAAAGGTATTAAGCCTAAGCTCAGTGTATATTAAGAAGAGACTTATAATCCTCATTAATTTCTAATGAAATTAACAACTTTGTGAACTCGAACTTAAAAATTATTGCTGATATAAGGAAACACTGAACATAATATTTTTCTACCAAGAATTTTTTTTAAAAAAACTGTCATATTTAGAAATTCCTTTCTTCCTCTTTCCTTGCTGGGGATTGAATCTAGGGTCCTCACACTAGGCAAGTGTTCTACCATTGAGCTTCCTCCTAATCATAACTGTTCTTTAGAATCACTTAGAAAAACAGATGAACAAAGTTTCTTTTGCCAGTTTTGCCAAATACCAACTAAATCTTAGTTTATATAAAAATCATCTTGGGACAGGAAGATTCATATAAAAATAGCTTTTGTACAAAAACTCAAACAGCATGTCTGTCCCCAGGGTTGAAAGGACATTACATAGCCTTACACTCGGCGGGAGGAAGGGATCTGTCCGGCAGAAGAGCCCCTTGGGAGGCTGCCCTGAATAAGCGCGCCCGGGCACTGCTTATTCTTCTAATCTTCGCGGGGTCCACGGGGGGCTTAGGGAAGGAAAGGCAGGGATCCTCCTCTGCGGTGGGAGATGGCGGAGCTTTCGGTTTCTGGAAAGAGATGTTTTAAATGATTGGCATGAGTGTTGTTTCTGTCTCGGATAACATTCATTACCCGTGAGCTGGCCCCAGTCCTTCCAGAAGAGCACAAAGGGTTTCTGCTTGGCTCGGTCTTGGCTTCCGTGTGTACGCACACATGCACATAGACAATTTTACAATTATTTTTGTCAGTTACATTATTTTAACTGTTCTTGGGGATGGGGAGATGGCTTAGTAGAATAAGTGCTTGCCTGGCAAGCGCAAGGGCCTGAGTTCAATCCCTGGTTCCACAAAAAAAAAAAAAAAAAAAAAAATTAACTGTTCTACTGTACTGCTTAGTGTATTTGAAAAAAGTTCCACAAAAAATTAACTGTTCTGCTGTACTACTTAGTGTATTTAAAAAAAGAGATATTATATATATGAGACTATAAAGTTAAGTAGAATATTTTGAAAAGTTCTGAGTTCAACTTAGCTCTGAAATCATTTTCTGAACACCTATAATATCCGCCAAGATGTATGTGGACTGTAATAATAGCTTTACATATACTGGACTCTACAGAACAATTTTTCAATGTCAAACTTTAAAATATTTTTGATTAAAAGTTTTAAGACATAAAAGCAAAAAGTTGTTTTGGACTTCTGATATATATATATATATATATATATATATATATTTTACATCTTAAGGATTATGTGCCAAGAAAAATTGTGTGCCACTATTCTTTAGAACAGTAACATTTCTGGCAAAATTCCAATGTCTTAAAGCCTAATCCAGGCTAGTCTCAAACTCCCAGTCCTCCTCCCTCAGCCTCCCAAGTGCTGGAATCAGGCGTGTGCCACCATGCATGGCCATTCAAAGACTTCTATAAAAAAATAAAAAAGAAAGACTATAACAAGTTATGTGACCCCAAAGCTTCCTTCAAGCCTAACCTTGAGATGGTTGTGGTCTGTCACCTGGTACCAGAGCCTCACAGGACTCTAAGCTCCCAGTACGGCAATATCTAGTGGCTCTGTCATTCTTGGCTTCAACTTTACTACAATTATTTGTCTGCCAAAGAGCAACTACATGGCAGCAGGTGCTTTTATTACTCTAACCAGACGTAGTTAAAGCTCTGAAAGTCACTTCCATAATGTACGAGATGAATGACTCACTACCTAATGCATTAGTCAAAAAATCTTTTAGAACTCTAACATGGAATTCACATAATTTGTGAAAATGGGTCGGTCATCTACATATGAAGCATTTTCTCAGATTCTTATTTTCTCATATACTCTAGTAGAACATCATCTGGATTAGCATTCTCACACCAATGATAACATCTTTCAAGACATTTTTTTATTTCCTCTTGATCATCAGCATCCAATATTGATTTTTATAAGCCTGAACAAAAACAATTAGCTTTGCAACTTCAGAGACACACAGTTAGAAAAAGGGTAAGTAAAATACTCAGCACAACATGGAGGGAAGAATAAATCACTTTGGGAATCAAACAGTCCTGGAGTGGTAGCTACCTACTAGTTAGGTGAATGTAAGAAGGCCATTTATTTCTTGAGCTTTCCCAGCTACGGCATAGAAACACAAATTCTTCCTCCAGCGGGCACTCACATGAACAGGCATCCTGCTATAGAAGCTCAGTAAGAACCAGCTCCCTTCCCCACTTGTGATTGGATTCAGTTCCGCACTACTTTTGTTGGCAGTGCAGGGGACCAAACCCAATCAAACCCAGAGGCACTCTACCACTGAGTCACATCCCTATCCCTTTTTAAATTATTTATTCTGAGACAGGGTCTTGCTATATTGTCCAGGAAGAAATCAAATTTGCATTTTCTTCAACCACGGCCTCCCTTGATGCTGGGATTACAGGCACGGCCCTGGCTTCTGACCCAATCTTTCTGGAATAAAGACCCTGTTGTGGGTATGCACACACTCAGCCATCTACATACTTAACAGTCTCCTCAACCTGTCACAAAATGGTCATAAGAATGTGACTTAGGTTGGGGGCCAATAGTAACAGAAAAGAAAGAGTACAATATGGAGAAATGAGTGCTTTATACACAAACATTAAAAGCACAAATCATAAGGATAACTTCGCCATTGAAGGCTAAGGCTTCTTATCTCACAATGTCCGTACTGCACAGTGCCTTGAAACTGCAGCACAGGCTCATGAGTCTACTAAAGAATAACGTAGATGGAGCAGGTGGTTCTTTCTCCAGATGCCCAAATTGCTACGAATGTTCTTAGTACTAAATAAAAGGGCTTATTAAAGGAAAAATATGGTCTGGAAAGCTAATTTTTCTCCAAAAGAAAATAACCGAATTATCTCTGGTAGGCAAGATAAAGTACAATAAGCACTCCTGGGGAAAAGGCATTATTTTCCTACTGCAAATTTGCAACTGTATAATGAAATTTTAGTTTCTTTTTACTACTGACCTTTAACAAATTATTTATCCTATTTGAACATGTATCTCACTGGACCATATCAACTATAAAGCAATGCACATAAGGCATTTTCAGTTCTTCAAGGGAACACTACTAACCAAATCAGGAATTTATTTCATGCTGGGTTCTACAAAATATTCTTCCACTTTAAGCAGAAAATGGCTTTTATTAAGAAAATTAGTAAAAAAAAAAAAAAGTTTTAAAACAATCAAAGTCAGATACTTTTAGAAATCTGAGAGTGCTGCAAGTAAGTTTCAGTCTTCACTGGAGAACCTTGCCTCCCTTCAGGACACTGACCAGGGACTTGAAAACAAACAAGGACACCAGGTGGGACAGTTGGGCTTGACTGCCAACCTGACTGGCTGATCTCAGAGTATCTGGGAGGGTCATGGGGCTGTGACCTTGGGGACTCTATCTGGTCCCTTGGCTCCTTCCTTCCTGGTGCTCTTCCTCATGACCTGCTCCCTAGCTGCTCTGACCTAAGCAGCTCTGAGCTTTAGGTCTGTGTGTCGTGACAGTCCTGCCTGGGGGGCAGCCAGCCATGGACTGAACCCTCTGAAATCACAACCAAACACACTTGTCCTTTAAGTTTCCAGGGTCAGGTAATGTGTCCCAGCAACAGGAATGGTGATGGATATACTAGAAAAGTCAGATTTTATAATTTCATCTCGCTGATGAGACAATGTCTACTGAAGGCACACAAACTTTCATGGAAACTTATCAAGGAAGATGCAATTCACAGAACCTTTAAGAGCTCCAGCGGGTTGTGACTCATCCTATCACCATGGCTCTTGTTTCTACCCTTGACTCCTCAGATGCCTAACAGAAGGCAGGGTCTCTTCACCTTACATGAAGACGTGTGTGCATGCGTGTTTGTGTGTGTGTGTGTGTGTGTGTGTGTGTGTGTGTGAAGCCCAACTGTTCACCTAGTGTCCTTGTTTATTCTCAAGTCCCTGGTTATGCTGTGAAAGGAGTGACTTCCACTCAGAAAGTCACTCTAGCAAGCAAAGCAGCAGAGCACTTATTAATATCCATGCACTACAATCCCTCCTGGAAGTAAATACTGAAACATTTCCCATGCCCCAACATTTGCAAAATAGCAGCTCTGTGTCATTTCTGTCCATGGATACTCTGGACGCCTCTGTCAGCTGCAGTGTGAGACTCGCTGCCATAACATTACCATGCATTTCGAAAATGGCAAGAGAAAACCTCTGCTTGGACATTCTCACTCTACTTTTTCTGACCCTGGGTCTCCACCATCCCCAAGACATCGATGAGTTTCTAAGTCTTCTTTTTAAAAGAAGCTAAATTTTGTCTCACTTGTCAAATACACTCAGAGCTTTGATCATCTAAAGTAGTTTATTAGTATTCACACTGATCAGTGCTGTCAGAAGTCAGCATAGTGCTTGTCCCGGGGAGGCAGTGGCTGAGGAGTCGGCCTTCCTAACCCCACAGATGACCTCTCTGATGCTTCTGTGAGATCTGTTTTCTTTTTAAATGCCTGTTGCTGAGTGATTAGTTTGTGTATCGAGTTGTACTCTCAAGATCTGTGTCTTTTCTGCATGTCAAAAGTCTAAATAAACATATTCGAATGACAATGTGATACAACAAAATCTCCTACTTCATATGGTCATATCTCGGCTGGCTTCATTCAGTATAAAGTAAGAGAGGAGTGATTGCTGAGTACACAAATTTGAATACCAGCTCATAGAGCAGCAGAATAAAGATAGGAGGAATTACCACGGAACTGCCCCAGGTCTCAGGGCTACTGTAGGGTGGGAAAGAACTGCTTAGAAAAAAAACGTACCCTGGCAATCCTGCCTAAGTGCCAATGAAAAGTGGCTACAAAGTACCACACTTTCCTAGTCTTCCAAGTTTGCAGGTGCTAACAGGAGTCCTTGTGTGCCAGGTGACCAGCAGCCAAGGCCTGAGCAGCCAGGAACCAGGAGCATTTCTTTTCCATTATTTGCAGAAGCCCTGGGTAATCTCAAAAATGGGCAGCCTATGGCCTGCTGGAGGGTGTGGGGGAGCTTAGGCCAGATAGGAAGGGGAGAAACAGAGAGAAGGTAAATGCCCAAGAAAAGAGTTGACTGATCTAGACAAGCAGGAGCTGGAATAGGCTGTGCTCTGGGTCTTTCTTTCTTAAGGAAATATGAGAAGGGAAAGACATTGAAGAAAGAGCCTTAAGCCAGAAAAGTGATTGGTTAAGACTCACAAACTCTCTCAGCAAATGTTCCCCTACCTGTCAGGCACCTTCCCTACTCTCTCTCTCTTGTGTTTCCATCCCTCCCTCCCTCACCCCAGGTATCTAACCCACCACCCCACAATCCAATTTCTGGTTACTTCTCCTTCCCTTTGTCAATTTACAGGCTTCCAGAGTCACAGGTGCCTTGAAACATGGGAGTGAAAAAAAGGAAAGGAGGAAGGGCAGGTAGTGTGAGGCTATTTTCAGAATGTTTTAACTGTGGACTTTAATTTTTCACTATTGTTTAAAATGAAATATGCTTAAGGCCCTTACATAGTCTACCATAACAAAAGGCCTATACATTAAAGCAGTCATTTTACTGGGAATGAATTTCTTAGATTACTCTTATTTTGAACACAGCACCCACCCACTCTGCAGTAAAAAATTTAATTTCATGACCTTAACCAGAGGCACATGCCAATACTGTCTCAGCCTAACACCTATTGTGCAGTCTAAGACAGCACCGCTTTGATAAGGCAATGGGAACGCCATAGAGGCTAAAAAAAAGAGTGAATTGCCAAAATCTACAGTAATAATTCACATAACTGGCTTAAGACTTTGAGTCGCTCTAAAAGCAACATACATAAGAAGCCATGTTTCAAAAATAGAGAACAAATTATTTATTGCATATTGGCTTATGTTTAATATTTTGGGATTTATTTTTTCATCTTCAATATAAAAACAAGTATAATCTTCTTCAGAGGCATTAAATATTTTATTTTATTTTTGAGACAGGCTCTCACTATATAGTTCATGCTGGCCATGAGCTCACCTTGTGACCCAGGCCGGTCTCAAACTCACAGTGATCCTCCTGCCTCAGCCTCCTGAGTGCTGGGATTACAAGTGCACCATTGCACCCAGCTCAAATATTTAAAAAAAACCCAAAAAACCAACATTTTGAGACAACTGGACCACACATTACTGCTGTTATGGGGTAATGCTGGTTTTCTGTGGTGATAGTGTTGTGGTTATGCAGAAGACTGTCTCTGCTCACATGAGATGCAGACTCATGAATTATTATGAGGAAGAATCATCAAGCCTGCAACCTCCTGTCAAATAGTTCATCAAAACTAAACATACACTCAAGCACACATATGTGCATAGTAGTAAATGCTGAGAAGGCTCACATTCCATCTCCGTGAAGTCTAAGAATTGGTATCACTTCCAGTAGCATAGGCCTAGGAGGTGGGTGACCAGGGTAGGGAAGACTGGCTGAAATTCCTTCCTTTCTAATTTTTGTGCAGATAGGCCTTGAACCCAAGAGAAGGGGAAAACATGTATTATTGAGCTAAGGTAAAACAGACCATGTCTAAATGGTATCATAAGTAAGGGTTCCCAGCAACAGGTGTCTTTATACTTGGCAGGACACGTATTATAACATGGTTATTGATTATTTACATATTGATGTTGGGCATCCTGCCTTCTTCCCCAGCTGGCTCTGGAAGCCAGCAACCAGACTTCGTCTTTTAGGAGACTGCATGGAAGGCACCTCTTCTTTAGGGAATCTGAGTAGCCCACAAGGGAGTCCCTAAAGATGTGTCACTGTAGGTGGCAGCAAGAACACACCTCAACCAGATCTCCCCACCCACAGGTGTTGATGGGTATAACCTATAAATTAACCAACCTGACTACATGGCAATGAGCAGTGTAAGGCACGAGGGGAAAGTCTCCAGCATAAGAAACAGAGACCAAAATAAGCATAGAAATGCAATGGGGGCAGTAAAGGGAGCCAAAAGCTAAGCTAGAGTGACTGAGCCAGGCCTGGTCATCTCACCATGGTAGAAGCAGGAAGGGATCAAGAGCATAAGGCTGCCCTGGGCTACACAGTGAGTCCTGGTCTCAAACTCACCCCAACTCCCCAAAGTCAAAACTACCACTAATGTATTCAGATAAGATGCTGGAACCATGAGATAAAGTTGTAGTACTACATAAAAACACAATTCTTGAGAAAAAAAGAGCTTTTGGAAATTAAAAATAGGATAGAAATAAAAATAACTTAATAAAAGGATTAGAACATAATTTCTTTCCAAACAAGATGTACAACAGAAAAACTAAAGAGTTGTTCCTATGCTGTATTCAAATAGTACATTCTAGAAAAGCAAACAAATTGGCTCAGTGTACACTATATGCATGTATGGAAATACCAAACACAACCCAATCAGTAGGTGCAATTAATTCATGTTAATATAAATTGTTTTAAAAGTGAGGAAGAGTTGATCAAAATAATTCAAGAACACTTCCTATGGCTAAAAGGCACCAAGTTCTACCTTGAAAGAGCACTTCAAGTATTCAGCTACAAAAGGCCCATTATCACAAAATTTCAGAACAAAGGGAAAATCCCTATACATTTCTAGAAAGGACAAAAAGGAAGCAAGCATCTCAAATAATTTATTTCCCATGCAGTCTTTTTCAAGAAGCTATAAAGGGGACTGCTTCACCAATATCAGAGTCAAAAAGAGAAAAAAATACAGTAAACAGGGCAAAGCTCACACTGAGCAGGGGCTCCTGTGGGATAAGGTTGAGGAGTGCAGGGATGCAGCCCGGCAGCAGGTGCCTGAGGAGAGGCGTGGGCAGGATGTCCAGAGAGCTCCACAGGGAGCTGAACCGAATGCGTGAGCACTTGCTGCTCCTGAACACACAAAGGCAATTCAGATTCGCAGACAAGAGTCTAGGGCTGAAATAGCAACAACGCAAAACTGAAAATGCAAGTCAACTGTTAACACTAGCGATAACAAAAAGTGGTGCGGGTGTGCAAAGTTGTCATCATCAGACATCATTAGTGACTCAGGTATAAGCATGTGCGTAAGTGCAGTTCAAGAAAACTGAGCTAAGCAAAGTTATGTTACATCCACGTTGGGAGCACCAGCAGGGACAGAAAACATGAACGTGCTGTGACGGGAGAGACCAAGCTGAATTGTCATCATTCTTAAGTGGGATAATTCCTCAAGTTCGTAAGTCAGATGGCAGCAAGGCAATGTGGTATTTAGAAATCTAGATGTAAGTAGCAAAAGACTGTACCAAAAGAAGGTCCCTGGGACAGAATAATGAGGAATAAGAGACCAGGACATTACTAATCTGTTTGCTTTTCTAGAATTTACTATTCCAGTATAGGAGCAACTCTTCAGTTTTTCTGTTGCACATTTGTTTGCAAAGAAACCTTATGTTCTAATTGCTTTATTGAGTTATTTTCATTTCTATTCTTTTTTTTAACAAGGGCAATTTTAATAGTGACTTATATTAAGTTGCAATATCTGCTAAATTATAAAAGTTGCTTTAAAAATATATTGACTCAATTATATTCATTTCCTTTATGTATTGACATTTTTCAAATACTGCATATTGAAATAATTCAAAACATGGTCATTACAACACGTGGTAAATAACTTCATAGCTGCTTAACATTGGTCTCATTCAGATTTTAAACTAATGCTCAATGCATTAATCTTTATTGATGAAAATGCTACATTCACATATTTCATAAAACCAGAGCTAGAAGGGATCTTACAAAATAATCACATTTGCATTAGAAATGCTGACAAATACTTTACATATCATTTCTACACAGCATTCTGTTCACATCATGTATAATCTTGATATTATTAATTATGGATACTCTGATTTTGAACTTACACTTTTAATACTTAAAAAGTCATTGTTCCTATCAATTTATGAATGGATTAAAAAAGATACACATTCACGCAATGGAATCTATCCTATTTTTAATTTCCAAAAGCTCTTTTTCTCAAGAATTGTGTTTTTTAAAGTACTATGGTTTTATTTCATGGTTCCAGCATCTTATCTGAATATATTTGATGTTGCTCTTTGTAACAAATCTCTGTCAACATCTATCTAATATATATACATATGTATATATAGATATATATCAAAAATTTTAAATATAAAATTTTATGTATAACTGTCAAAAAAAATAATACATACCTATTTTTAAAAATTAGATATATAGTGAAACATTTTGTTTACCAAACTACTATATTTTAAAAAACATTCTTCTTTATCAAACTACAGGTAAATTACTGAAGAGTTTCATTAGCTATATTACCTATGATATTCAAAAACTATTAAGGCATCTGCTGTACTACTGCATTAGTTGCACAGTGAGGTCCACATGATAATTTCCCTGGCATACAGAAGCGCTGGCTCCAAGCGTCGGGGCCAGTCTCATTTCACAGTCCTGGTGGCAACAGAGGGCAAAGGACTCACCAGCTCTAGTGGGCTGAGACGGGTGCCAGAGATAGGCCTGCAATCAGATGACTCAAAGCTGGATGCGTGGAGGCTGACGTAAGAGACAGAGCAGAGTTACAGTTTGTGAAGAATTATTTCTTTTATTCCTAACATATGTTAGCTAACTGTTACTAAAAATCAAGTAAAAGCATTTAACTCATAAGCCTTGAGAAAACAACAATTTAACATGTTATAGTACTTAAAAAACTTTTTTTAGATTTTTTTAACTTTAAAGACAAAAACAATAAAAATGATACAGATTTTCAAAACAAGATAGTAGGAAATTAACAAAAGTTAAAATATATTGCAGATTTAATGCATTTTATTTTATTTTATTTATTTATTTTTTGCAGAACCGGGAATTGAACTCAGGCCTTTGCGCTTGCCAGGGAAGCGTTTATTCCACTGAGCCATCTCCCTGGCCCTTAATGTATTTTATTAATAAGACTTTTACTGCTTTAGGGAAGATTTTTAAAATACCAAATAATGCAAAAAACGTACATGATGATTTTTATAAAAAGTTTATATCCTTTATAAACTTGGTATGACAAACAGCACTACCCCATTTTATTCCAAAGTAACTTCCTGGACCCAATGTTTAGAATTATCTTTAGAAATCTAGAAAAAAAAAGGCAAACTTGAAAAACAATTATCTTGAAATCAATTAACACAATCCATCACACTAACGTGGTACAGAAGAAAATCATACGATCAATTAATAGACGCAGAAGGAGCATTTGATAAAATCCAACAGCATTCACAATAAAAGCTCTCAGCGAATTAGTACTAGAAGGAACATTTCTTCAATGCAGTACATCATACAGACAACATCATGTATCATGATGAAAAACTTGAAGCTTCTAACTAAGATCAGGAACAAGGCAAGAAGGTCCCCTTTCACCACGGCTTTGCAGTGTCACACTGGAAGTCCTAGGTAATGCGATAAGACAACAAAAGGGAGTAAATGGCATATGGGTTAGGAATAAAATAAAACTTTGTTTGCAGCTGGAATGATCGTCTATGTAGAAAATCCTAAGGAACTGACATCTCCTAAAATAAGTGATGACAGCAGGACTACAGGATACAAGATTAATACAAAGAAGTCAGTTGCTTCTCTGCATATCAGAAATAGACAAGTTGAAACTGAAAGGATAACACAAAACCATGTAAGTTAGCGTCCACTTCAATGAAATACCTAAACATAAATCTAACAAAATACATACAACATCTGTATGAAAGAGATGGTAAGAAACGAGAAAGAAATAAAAAAATTAAATAATCAGAGAGACATTCCAGTTTCATGGCTAGGAAGACTATCAAGGTGTCAGTCGGTCCCAACTCAGTCTAAAATTTAATGCAATCTTAATAAAAATCCCAAATAATTGTGCAGATATCAATAAACTAATTATAAAGTTAATGTGGAGAGGCAAAACACCCAGATAGTCAACATGACATTGAAAGGAAAGAACAAGTTTAGAGGACTGACAATACCAGACTTCAAAAACATGCTCTAAAGGTACCATAATCATGCCAGTGTGGTACTGGTGAAGGAACAAATAGACCAATGGAACAGAATGGTGAGCCCAGAGACAGAGCCGCATAAATACAGGCAATTGATCTTTGACAAAGGAGCAAAGACAATGCAAACTTCCTTAACTTACAGTGGGGTGATAGCACAAGTTGAAAATTTTGTAGCCAAAATTGCATTTAATATACCAGAAGTGTATACTGTAGGGTACGGGTTGTTTGCCCTTACGGTCAGGGGGCCGGCTGGAAGCCATGGCTTGCCAATTTGCCCACATCAAAAGAGAGTATCCTACGGCATATGGCTATGCCAGGAAAAGATCAAAATTGAACGTCCCAGTTCTATGGAGTACATATCACTTTTACATGCTTGTAAAATACAAAATTGTTAAGCTGATCAGGGACTTTGTGCACTGCAGAAAGATAGCCTTTGACAGATGGTGCCGCACAAATGAACATCTACATGCAAAAGGGGAAAGTAGATGCAGACATTTACACCTGTCACAAAAATTAAGTAAACCTCCTACAGGATAACAGGAGAAAGTCTAGATTACCTTGGGTAAAATAATGACTCTTATACAACATCAAAGTCATGATCCATGAAAGAAATATTTTAATTAAAATTTAAAATCCTGTCTGCTCTGCAATAGAACCTGTCAAGAGAGCAAGAAGAAAAACCACAGACTGGTAGAAAACATTCGCAAAAGACATACTGTACAGTACAAAAGATGGTTACCCAAAATGCTCACAGAATTATTAAAATTCAATAATAAGCAAGATGTGGTGGCCTATGCCTATAATTTCAATATCTGGAAGGCTGAGACAGGAAGATTGTGAGTTTGAGGCCAGCCCAGAATACACAGAGAGAAAGAGAGATAGCCTGACTCAAAAAACAAAACCCAAATACTGACAATAACAAACACAACAGTATATTTCAACAATTAGGAAACAGCTTGGGTAAGTAGCTTGGCAGTCTAAGTACCTGCCTGGCAAGTGCAAGGACCCAGGTTTGATCCCCAGGCGCCACAGAGATTGGGCATGGTGGTGCACGCCTATAATCCCAGCACTGGGGAGGCTGAGACAGGAGGATCACTACAAGTGAGAACTGCATAGTAAGACTCTGTACCAGATAAATGAATAAATCAGACAATCAATCAATCTAACACTAAGGACATAAACAACTCAAATAAAAACTGCGTCACAAACCTGAACAAATGCCAGACTAATGAAAACATATAGATGGAGAAACAATGTTCCATATCATATATCACCAGAGAAATGAAAATTAAAAGAAAAGGTGCCACTATACACCTCTTAAGATGGCTAAACTTTAGACTGTTGACAATATCAAATGCTGGTGAGGTGACGGAGAAGAATAGTAACTTTCTCATGCTGGTGGAAGTATGAAATGGTATAGCCATTTTTGAGGACAGTTTAGTGACTTTTTACTTAAGTAAAGATACTCTTACCATACAATCCAGCAACTGTCTTCTTACTGTTTACCTGAAGGAGCTGAAAACTTATATCCATATAAAAACTGGTACAATGATGTTGATAGCAGTCTCATTTGTAATTTCCAAAAATTGGAAGGAACCAAAATGTCCTTCTTTAGGTGAATGAGTAACTGTGGTACATCCTGACAATGGAATATCATTAAGCACCAAAAAGCTATGAGCTCTCGAGTCATGAAAAATCATAAAGGGAACTCACATGCATGATACTAAGTGAAGGAAGACAATTTGAAAAGACTACATTATAGGAGAGCAGCTAATAACTGAGGCCTAATTCACAAAGGAGAAAAACAGCAGGCTAGGGGCCAGGGAGATGGCTCAGTAGAATAAGCACTTGCCTGGCAAGCACAAGCGTCTGAGTTCAATCCCCGGTTACAAAAAAAAAAAAAAAAAAAAACCAGCAGGCTGTATTCCCTTGGCAACATACAGGATGATGGTACTTTGCAGCTTTTAGGGAAAAGTCAACACAGCTGAGATCCAGTTGTTTACTGGGGCATATACTTTAGATAACAGGAAGCAGATGAATTTTCTGCTACTCTAATCACTTGTCCCCATCGAAGTGACTAAAAGCAAGGTGAGCCAGATACTCAGGGCTCTTTGTCCACTAGAGGCAAGAGCCCTGTGGCTGTTGCATTCTAAACCAACTCTGTGTCTGACTGTCTTTCATTCTTTTTCCTCCTTGGGTCAGGGGCCAAACTAGCAAGTCTAGGCCCCTTCAAGTGGTGCCCAAATAGGGACCTGACCAAAACAGGCTGGTTTCCTACACTACATATTGTATGATTCCTGCTATATGACATTCTAGAAAAGGCAAAACTATGGAGACAATAAAAAGATCTGTAGTTGCCAGGGATTTGGAGAAGGACAGATAAATAGAACAAAATTAAGGGAAAATGTACTCTGGAGCCTTGGTGTACCTGCAAGTAAAATGTCATATACCTGAAGGAGGAAGGAGGCCTATTTTCCAGTGTCCTTGATGACGTAGGCCCAAACAGTTTCCTTTGGTCTTCTTGGGGCGTAAATGGTCTTTGGGTTCTAACCGTTCTTAATGCATTTCGTGCTTCACTTATGATTTCTGCACTGGTCTTCTGCTTGGACACTGAAGGTTGATAAAATGGATCCATTTTTTCTAACTTCTTATCATTTGAAGACAGCATCTTTCCTTTTTAAAGTAAAATGGTTTTCAGACACCCTGCAAACATATAGGGCAATAAATATCAACTGTTGCAACCCAGTGTTTTAGAAAGGAGTGCTTAAGCCCTTCGATATATTAAAATACTCTTTTATATCTTTTATAGTAAGCTCGAAAAGAAACCATAAACAATTTTTAGGTAAAAATTTAAACAGAGATCAGGGAGATGCCTGGCAAGTGCAAAGTCCTGAGTTCAATCCCTGGTACCAAAAAAAAGAATAGGTCTCAAAACATGGGCTGCACAGCTGTGCCAAAGTATGATTGAGGAAAAGACACATAAGGAAGAAACCCAAGATAAAGGAAGAGAGAATCATCTCACTTTTGGGTGGGGGTTGTACTGAAGGTTGAACCACGGCCTCATGTACAGTCAGGAAGTACTCTCCCACTGAGCTACACCACCAACCTCTATCTCATAGTCAATGTACAGGACAACATTAAGGGATTGCTTAATGTTTTAAGGTTTCCTTTTCTTCCAATAAATTTGATGGGGTCAAACTACATGTGCTTTACAAAAAACCTCTGGGAATGGTTTGGCCCCATAACTGTCCATGATATTTTTGAATAAGTTAATTCAAATCACCTTCTAATTTGGGACAGTGTCTTAGATGAATACATATCAAATATCAATATAAAATATTCCTTTCCCAATCATCTTAAACAGTTAAAGAGAGTTATGTACAAAGGTCACAAGAATACATGTCCTTCTCAAACATCAGTGTATACATGAAGACCAATCTGGCTTTAAAACAGTCCCAATGTTTATTCAATTTTTATTTGTTATTACGTTTGCAGTACATGACGATTACATTCCTTGTGATGAGCCAGTACATGTACTGACACATTAATTATCCTTTTCATCCCCTTCTCTCTCCTTTTGCTCCATTTCTTGGTCTTCTTCCCTTTTACAAAAGACCTAGTGTCCTTAAAATCATCCAGATTTTGAAAAGTTTATTTCAAATTCGTATATGGCATTAGGTATTAATTTCTTTTAAAAAAGAAAAACATTAACCTAAAAAACACCACCCCAAGAGTTTCCAAGGAAAAGACTTGGATGAAAACCACAAATAATATGTCACTCTTTTCATATGAAAAGTCCAGGTGCTGCATTAAAATAGAGAAAAGTTACTGGATAAGCAATACTATGCAAGGAATTATTGATATAAGATTTTGCACTTAAGCAAGTTCAAGTTTCTAGAATTGTGTACTTCAACACAAATAAAAAAAAAAAGTGCAGACCTAGTACATTTTATTTCTAATACTCCTCACATGATTGGCTTTTCATTTCAAAATATTCCATATAATTTACTTTTAGGTATACAAAATCTTTTAGGTATATACATATGCACTTACATATATTATTTAAGTGCATAATAAACCTGACAAACAAATTTAGGTATAAGGATTTTTTTTTCTGTATTTAGGGAACGGTCTATAGGGTCTCACTTTGTAGATCGGACTTGTAGTGATTCTCCCATTTTCTGCCTCCCAAGTGCTGGGATTACAAGTGTGCACTACCATGCCCAGTCTCAATCACTGTCCCAGTGTGCCCCAGGGGTGAGGCCGGCATGGCAGGCTGGGGATCAAATCCTGGCTGCTGTGCTTTGCCTAAGCAGGAGCTTTAGTCTGCTGAGCTATCTGGCCAGCCCTAGACAAACAAATTTAAATAGCAGGTATAAGCCAAGTGCCCTCTTAAGAGTTGAGCTAAAAAAAAAAAAAAAAAAAAAAAAAGTTGAGCTAGGTGAGTGTGTAAAAAATGCTCATTGTTGCCACTTCTAGTCTTTCCTTCCTGCCTGTCTTTCCTTGGCAGGTCACATTTTATGCCTTTGGTACAGGTTCTCACTAAGCAGCTCGGGCTCACAATGATCCTTCTGTTTCAGCCTCCCCAGGGCTGGGATTTACAGGCATGTACCACCACACCTGGTGTTGGTGGCTGGCTCAAAGCGCCCAGGGTCGGGGCAAGCACAGCATGTGGTGCCGGGGATTGAACCCTGGTCCCTGTGCTTGCCTAAGCAGGTGCTTAGTCTGCTGAGCTATCTCACTGGCCTGGCAGATCCCATATTATTTTTTTCAACCTAGGTCCCGTGCTTTGCACTACATTCCCCTTCCTCCTTTTCTCTTCTCTCTTCCAGTCTCTCACTCTCCCTCCTTTTCTTTGGCCTCAGTTCCCACAGGGCTGGGACTGCAGGTGTGCACAACCATACACAGCCCAAGAGAACCTTTTAAACTGAGCAGAAGAGAAGCAAATCATGAAGGGGGAGAAGATGAATTCTGTCTTGCATCAGTTGTCCTGAGTCTGTGGTGCAAACGGGACTCCAACAGAGGGACATCACCAGCAGGAGGATACTGAAAATTTTCTTTTAAGGCAGTGTTTCTCACTGGTTTCAGGCAAAGCCAGAGGCATCATTTATAGAATTTCATACCTAATTTTAAAAAATTGTTTTTACCTTTGCTGCTAATGCTGACCAGAACAAAAGTGCTAACAGGGTGGGAGCAACAGGGCACAGGCTGGACAGCTTCACACTTTTCCCTTCAAATTAAATACTCATCCCCTTTCTAGGACTTTGAATTACTTTTTTGTGAATATGAGCCTTCGATGGGGCCGTGCTCATAAGTGCCTGTCTGGCAAGCACAAGGTCCTGAGTTCAATCCCCGGCGCTGCAAATAAATAAATATAAATAAAAATTTTAAAATGGGGTCATGCTAAAGAGAATAGATGCTGTGTACGGGTCCAACAACGGTGCAACAGTTAAGTCTCTGATTGTGGGAAAGGCCTGCACTAAAACTCTAAGCCTGTTGTCTTTTCTGAAATATTGAAAGTAATGAGAATCATCTGAGGGTTATTTTGAGCGTTAAGTAAAATGATCCATCTAAAGTTCTTTAGCATGGTGCTAGGTCATTAGAAACATTAACAAATTACTGTCCAAGTGCTAATTTAATAAAGGAATACAGAAAAAATTTCGCCAGTGAATGAAACTTCATTTAAAAAAGAAAGGAAACTGCAAAAAAGAAAATATTTGTTCAGTGTTTTATTTATTTCATAAGTTTTACACTCTACATTGGGGTACTTTGCGAAATTAGAGAACTTTTATTAAGCATTTTATTGAATATAACTATATCAAATATCTTATAAATTCACAAACTAGAACACAAATAAAGGCCTGGACTGGCTTTTCTACTAAGTTAAAAGAATTCTAAGTGGGGGTGGGGTGGAAGGCCTCCTGTGATAGTGTGGGAATGGATCATCAAAGGCATTTTGCACACATCCATATATTTTACTGGCTGACACATACTGTTACACATAAACTTTATTTATTGGGACGCTATCTGTTGCCTAGAGGAGCCCAGCAACAGTCTGCAGTGACTTTCCCTATGCTGCCTGCCTGCCTAGACAAAGCCCCTCAGCTACCACCCTTTCATTCAACAAATATTACTGAGGTTCTATTAAGTACCAGACAGCTGAACAGTTGTTCAGCGCATAGAAATAAATAGATGGCTGCGCCCGACCTCTTCGTCCTATGCCTCGCTAGATTAAACATGGAATGGCAGAAGGCTGCAGAAAGGGTCCCCAAGACACCCCGGGGGGCGCCTCACCTCCCGCGCAGACAGCGGCTCCCATACTCCCGGCAATGCCCACTGGTCCGCGGGTCCAGGTCAGGGCCGACCGAGCTCCGCAGCAGCATCCTCACCGCGCCCGCCCGCCCTCCAGAGCTCCCGCTCCGCCCGGCCGGCCCGAGTCTCCATGGTAACCGTACACAAACCACCTCCCGCCGGGACGCCAACCCGCAGTCCCCGGCCGCCGCTGGACAGGCAGAGGACGGGAAAATGAGTTTGGAACGGCCACAGGGAAGCGGACTCCAGACCTGACCCAAAGTACCTGTGACAACGGTGAAGACAGAAACTCCGGCGGAGTTCAGCTCATCCTCCACCTCTCCTGCTCTGGCGGCGCTGGAGAAGGCAGGCGGGGCAGCCCGTACTGCGCTGCTCCGCTACTGGGCCTGCGCGGCGCATGCGTGGCGTACCAAGGCGGGCGCTAGCAGGTGCTGGAGTGCTAGGCTGGAGGGAAGAGGCCGGGGAGTCTGGGGAGGTGGCTCCGCTCAAAGCAGCAACTGGTTGACCACATTTGCTGCGCTCCTATGAGATCTCTGCGCCGCTATTAAGTTACAGTAGGCAGGACAGCAGCTGTAATGGTTGGAGTAAGAGTCAGGATTCACTGCTTCCACTTGTGGCTCTGTGTATCTTGGAGCTAGGTGTTTAACCTCTCGGTGTCCTCGCACAGCAAGGGGAGGCTTGTACGCAGTGGTAGCTAGCTCTGTTTTGAGCTTTTATGGAGCCTGGATGAGTACCTCTGAAGCGCTGTGCATATGGCTGTCAGTGGTCAGCAGTTGGCCGTGAGCAGGTCCTGGCATCTGAGCAGCGCTTCAGGATTTACGAAGCGCGTTCACACAGCTTTTAGGCAGGCTTTGCAGCTCCCAGGACTCTGTTCACAGGAGAGGACCTGGTGGGGGAGGAGCGAGCGAGATTCGAGCCTAGATCACCCTTGGCAAGTCTTTTTTTTTTTTTTTTTTCCCATACTGCATCATCATGGTTGAATGTTAATAAGAACCCCCCTTTTCATTCCAGTTTTAATTTGTTCTTTTAGATCACTCAGCAACACTTTACAGTGTTAAATACAAGTGAGACCATAATCACTCCCCACTCAGCTTTGCACCACGATTTATAAATATAAGGATTTTTCAGTTTAAGTGTTGTTGTCAACATTGGAAAAATGCCGCATCTTTTAGTGCTAAGTATCTTGTAAAGAATAATTAAATAGAAAAATTTGTGCGCACATACTATGTGCTTTGTGGGAAATGATACCTGAACTAATGGAATGTAAGCATCCTTCAAGGAATTCAATAGGATTTCACATGTGACAGACAATAAATTAGTTGATTGGATATTAGGACTTGATACAAAATATTGTGTTCTTCAGGGTCAAAACATTTCCTACCAATTCAACATAAATGATCATAGCAAGTGTCACTTATTGCCACTGGACCCCATTCTGTGTCATATAAAACTATAAATAGTATTTGAACTAACAACTTGTGAGATGTGGTAAATGCAACTATTTTGGCCTCTCTTGGTCATAGAGTTTTTAAGGGTAACAGCCAGCTGAGGCATGTGTGCCATAGGATTGGCACCACTGCCCTAGAGGTTGTATAAGATACAGCATGGATCCAAGTGGGTAGAGACAGGGAAAAGAGGAAAGAAATGGAATGGTCCTCCCTGGATTTGAGTAGCCTTGAGCTTGCTGTGCTGGCCCATGTACGCATTTGGGTCTTTCCTGGATTCTTTGGATTTCTTGCTGATGTGACCTCTAGTTGTCTCTGCTTCCTCCCCTGCACCTAAACCTCCCAGGGTTGCTCTGGCTTCGATTTCAAATGCATTCCAGAGCAAACGCTATACACCTCTTCCCCCAGGGACTTTGAGTATGCAGGCTTATCCCAACAGCCACAGGATCGCTGTCTCTGGTGGGCCCACTTGGTTTGGGACACATCTCTCACACACTGATTTGAGACAAAGAAGCATCACTCCACCTTCCTTTCTCCAAAAGTGCTTTTCTCGCACATCCTCCCCTGCCATTCTCTGGCCCCTTAGAACTGTGATGAGGTCTGTATGTTTCTTGGTATCCTGCCTTTTTGTGCTCTGCCTCACTTCACTTGGAACTAATAATTATACAATTACCATCTCAGTTGAAATGGCCTACTATCTGTTATGTAGCAGTTACTAACTACTTCTTGTGCCGAGGGTCTTGTCTAAAGGGTCCTTGTAAGGTTGCTACTGAAATCTGCAGCAAGCCAACCCAGAAGACCAGATGCTGTTGAGCAAGTGAGAACGACTGAAAAGAGTGATAAGGGCAGAATTATAGGAACCAAAATTTAAAGCAGTAAAGCTGCGCAGTTTACTTCACTGCAGAACACTGCATGGGACATTGTCTAGGCTGACACACCAAGGGCCCATGTATCTACCTGTGTTCTGCCTCAGCTGCCTGCACAGGTAGGCTTCGTAAGTAAAATTTTCTTTTTAGAAATAAATGTTAACATATTTTATATACCTTAGAGAGATTAAAGACAAAACATTATAGTTTTTTTTTCCACAATTTTATTGAGAAACAAATAGCAATGAGACAGTTTCAAACCAAAGTGGTAGGACAGTTTCAATAATTAACATGTTGCATACATTCTTCCTAGTGGTTGATTGCTGTACAAGATGCAGACTTGATAGCCTATTTACAAACACCATTAGAACAAATCACTCTATTCATTAAGAGAATGTAACTATATATCTATCCTAACCACTTTGAATACACAGATACAAAATGGACATTCATCTGTTTCCCCTTTTTTTGTTAAGTTCCATCATTTAAATATTATAGGTGTGTAAACTCAGCAAAATATTCTAAAAGAGTTCAGTAGTCCATAATAGTATTGGGTCTTCCACTTAACTGGCAATGTCAGAAAATGTTGACCTGAGTCCCCTACAGCTCAACATAACACCATGGCTTTACTTCTTATACTTCGTTTTTATACTTTTCTGCTGGATGGTTAAGACCAAGGTAAAGCAGGACCTATGCAACAAGAGTTGTAGCTTTTGGGTCTGATAAGGTCAGTGAAATCCCCTCGGGATTTATCCTGAGATCCTGTATCTCAGATTGTAGAACCTTTGTCAGTGTCAGCCATGTGGATGAGTCATGGCCATTGCTTGGCCAATGTGCTCTCGTGAAAGCCTGAGAGAATGTTTTCTCTCCATGTGACTCTCCTTAGGCACACTCTACATCATCGATCACTTTCCTCTTTGGCCCCATAATCTCCTTGATCGGAAAATTTGGGGCACTTCCTAGTTACATGATGTTACAGTACAAGTTCTCATATGTCCTGAGTCTTAATTGACCTTGGAAGTCTAGGGCCAAAATGTTGGCTTTCCTTGTGGCCCTCCTTTTTCTCTAATTTTGGTCTGCAAACGTAGGTTGTTAACCATCCAGAAGACAAGCTTATTGCTATTACCATACAACCTAGGCTGTTAAGCTTAACCTCACTATCTATCTGAATATCAAACATTGTAGGCACATCATAAAACAGGTATTTTTCATCAAGTATTGATATGTTGAACTTTAAGTCCTTACAGAATATGATGAAAAAACATTTAAAAGTTAAAATATACTTTTAAAAATAAGCATAAAGAATTATATACTTATGTTTACACATAAGTCCAGAAATCTAACCATATACAACCTTGAAGCAGGACAGTCCCACAATATTCCTTTTTGTATCTCTTGCTTTCATTAACATTATAGTTTTAAATTGCTTTCATTTAAAGCATTGCATTTCTGTTGTATATTTAGAGTTTAAAATAAGCCCCAAAGATTAATTCAAGGATTATTACCTCAGCTTAAAAGTGAAGACAATAGAGGTTAAGGGATCTGCCCATAGACACAGAGGTAAAAAGACCTGAAGCCAGGTGGTCTTGAAGACAAGTCCAGCCTGTGTCCTGCCATGGTCCATATGTAGATATTTTTTTGTTGTTGTTGATGTTGCTTTGTATTTAGTGCAGTGTCTATGGGGTATCACTATAGGGCCAGCACAACAGGCCTGGGATCGAACCTCCAACCCTGCATCTGCCTAAGCAGGTACTTTATAGGAATATTTTGAAGTCAATGCTCTTCTTCTGTACAAATGAGAACTACTTCCTAGGCTGTATGAAGCTATAAAAATCAAGAGGGACTTAGAGTGTTTATAGCATGTTATGGTTTGTGTCTAGTTGTTCCCCTAAAGCCTCATGCAGTCATGGGGCAGCCTCTGGGGTTTGTGATTGATAATTGTGGGTGTGAGTGCTACACCCTGGCCCTGGGGTGGGTAATTTGTATTACAATGTAAGGAGGGGATAACTGTGATAAAGAGTCCCTGGAATGCCTCTGCTGCCTTCTTACCACCATTGGTAAAGACCTGGACGTTGCCAAAGCCAAGCTCAGAATGGATCAGTATTTCAACCAGATGGAAAAAATTATTAAAGAAAAGAAGACATCATCTCGCATCCAATTTATGCTACAGGATGTGCTGGATCTATGACAGAGCAATTGGGTGCCACACCATGGAGATCAGGGTCCCAAGACCATTGACCAGATCCACAAGGAGGCCGAGATGGAGGAGCATAGAGAACATATTGAAGTGCAACAGCTCATGGCCAAGGTCAGTGACGAGTGCTGAGGTGGCCCTCCAGGCCTGCCCATTAGTCATGGCCTCCCACTCATGGATGATGGTGGTTGGAACACTGTCCCATCAGCAAAGGCAGCTGCCCCATTGACATTTCATGACTCACTAAGATCACAAAGCCTGGCTCCATTGACTCCAGCAACCAGATGTTTGCACCAGGACTCAGCTGGGGCAAGGGCAGAAGCAGGGTCTCAGGAACCAAGCCCTCAGACGCAGCATCAGAATCTACTCATCCAGCTACCAGTACTTTGAAATGCTTCTCCGGCCTTCAAAGAGCAGTACCTATAGAGAGCACAGATAACAGACGTGCAGTGCAGAGGAATAACTTGAGCTAGGAACAAGGTGAGAAAGCTGGGGACCCGGGAGGCTAAGTAGAGTGGAGTAAACAGGTTGGTGACCTTGGGGACTGATCTGATCATGCTTGGACAACTGCCACCAAGCAAAGCTTCAGCAACAAAATGGAAGAGCAAAGTAGAGAGTGGCTTTCCCAGTTGGAGGGGTTGCGCAAGGCAGCAAGCCTCATGGAAGACCGGGACTGGTACCGGAACAGCTTAAAGCGGGAAGCCTCCCTTCCCCTGGTGAGCCCTCCAAAGGCCACTGTCTCTGAGGAAGAGCTGGAGAAGAAGCCCAAGGCCATCACTGAGGGGTATCTCCACCTGAATGACATGAAGGAAGCAGTGCAGTGCGTACAGGAGCTGGCCTCACCCTCCCTCTCTTCATCTTCGTGCAGCACAGCATCAAGTCCATGCTGGAGCGCAGCACCA